GATCCAAATTAATTCACAATAAGTTTCACATTGTCCTGTCCAGCCTCCTGTTAACACAGGGGTTCTCAACCTTGCCCTCAAGGACCCCCTACCAGTCCAGGATTTGGGGATTACCTGGGTGTGTCTAAGGTGTTTAGAAAAAGGGAAGAAAAAAAAACCTTAGACTCTAAGGTGTTTTTTTTTCTTTTTCTAAACACCTTAGACACACCCAGGTAATCCCTAAACCCTGGACTGGTAGGGGGTCCTTGAGGGCAAGGTTGAGAACCCCTGTGTTAACATAATAGTTTGCAATCAGTTCCCATGGCTCTTTTTTAAGCAGCCTTAAAGGAACACTATAGTGTCAGGAATACATTGCTGTCCCTTGTGCCCACCCCCCACGGCACTTAAAGGGTTATCACTTACCTTATTCCAGTGCCATGGTCCTTCAGTGATGGCTCTATCTCCACCTCCTCCGACGTCAGTGCAGAAGGTGAAACGAATGTGCGTCAAGCACCACACACACATTAGGCATTCTCCATAGGAAAGCATTGAGTCATTTGAAGATGCTGGATGTTCTCATACAAAGTTAACGCCTCAAGTCACAGTCTGGTAGACAGCCACTAGAGGCCATCTTAACACTGCAATGTAAACATTGAAGTTTCCATGAAACTGCAATGTTTTACATTACAGGGCTATGGGAGACAGGAACATGGCACCCTGACCACTTAAATGAGATAAAGTGTTCTGGGTGCCAATAGTATCCGTTTAAGACACTGTTTAGGTTTGAATTGCCCGTTAAGAGCCTACACTTTCACCACAAAGTCATCATTGGATGTGCATTTATGCCTTAACCTGAGCTATTGACCCACTGGAACACCTCACTCAAGGAGGACTGGATAGAAACCCTCCCACGTCAGCAAACTATTCTAGTGGTTTGTTTTCAACAGAGGGTTACAATTACTCATCTATTTGTACTTAGTATGATTAGCAAATCCAAAAAGATCAAAGATGAATCACTGATTTAATTTATGAATCTCAGGTTAATGTAATTATTATTGAGTATGTCTAAAAAATTGCAAGAAAAAAAAAAGATTACGTTCCATTCCAAACAGGGAGGATATCATCAATGTATTGCTTCCATAACATAATAGATTGCTTGAACCTTGAATCTCTTGTTCCCACCAGTCTAGGTGTAACTTGGCATTGGAGCTCAAAGATGAATGACTAAATACTGAATACTGAATAACAGGATATATTAGTTGAGTTTACAAACATCTTTTTAGATTGTTTTAACTTCAGGCCATTCTGCCATCGTTCTGCTTCCTTTCTTTAGAAATCCAAATGTGTACAAATCTGGGTTAGGTCCTTGGTAGGTGCTGTGGACTTTTGTTTTTTCTTTTGTAAACATTTAGAAAAAAAACCTTTAATTTCTGTTCCGAGTTTACAAGGTCAAAAATGAATGTAAATATAATGAATGAGACATACAAAAGATAAACTATTATGAAGCAGTATTATTACTTATTCTTTGTGAGGGTAATAATGTGAGTCAGATAAAACTCACTTAATTAAACGTTCCCCTCGGCGCCAGGTGTGGTATATCAACATACAATTTTGGTATCACTTCCAGCCCCAATCAGATTGTTATCTACAAAAATGCATGGGGTACATATAAAAGCAAAATATAATACACTTTACCGAGAGCCATGGGGAGGCTCTTAGATGAGTGGATTCAGTATGACCCACTGTCACGGTAGTGTACCCCAACACGCAAGATTTAGTCCAACAAGAGACAAGATAAAGCAGATACGTCTTACCGGGCCTTAAAATGGCCGGACTCGACGTAGTACAGAGAAGTGACAGAGTCAGGAACGAGCCAAGGTCAAGGGAACAGAGAGACAGCGAAAACAAAAACTAGCCAAGGTCTGGTACACAGGAGTCAGGAAGCTGGCAAACAAGACAAAGCAGGGATAAAGAGAAAAACAGAGTCAGATACAAAGCCAAGGTCAAGCACGACAAAACCACTACTGAATGATACAAGCACTAAAGGGAACTGAATCAGAAACCACAACAGGGAAGGGAGCTAAGGGAAAGGTGAGTATAAATACCCTAGTGTTCAATTTGATTGGCCCCTGTCATATCCACGCCTCCAAAACGTGAATGTATGGGGAATGTGGAATGACATGGGCCAATGGGAGACCGTTTCACATTTTGGCTCCCACTGTCCCTTTAAGAGCGCACCCGAGACGCGCGGCGCGCTCTTAGAGCCAGGCGGGGCACGTGACCGTGTCTCGCGGTCAGTGCACGCCTTCCTGTAAACTCCGTCGTTCGAGCCACACACGGCTCGTGCAGATGCAGGACCTGCTCGCAGCGGGAACAGAGGACCTCGGCCGGCCTCCGGAGAGGGTAAGTACCGCTACACCCACATTATCACCCTCACAAGGTATTGGTAATATTGAACCATATTATGTTTTTTCTTTGTTCATATTTTTTAGGTTATACTATTTCGTGTGTTTTAAGATGGCAAAGTAGTGCGCCAGTGCGTGAGATTTGGTGAGAGGAAAAAAAGAACTATTAGGGGAAAAAGGTAAAATGATGTATAATATGCATGTATGAAAAATGCCAATTTTAGCTTTTTTTTTTCTGAAATGTGATGACATTTTTGGTGAAGATAATTAGGAGATATAGGATGAGACGTTAAGCATAAGAAGAGAAAAGGTACATAGTTTTGGCATCCCTTAATAAATGGATATTATATCAAAGAAGGATCTTGGGTCATGATCAAATGAAATAAAATAAATATTAAACAGCAATAAAGAAGAGAAATGTGTGGGCCATGGCTACATAGAACATAGAAACATAGAATGTGACGGCAGATAAGAACCATTCGGCCCATCTAGTCTGCCCAATTTTCTAAATACTTTCATTAGTCCCTGGCCTTATCTTATAGTTAGGATAGCCTTATGCCTATCCCACGCATGCTTAAACTATTTTACTGTGTTAACCTCTACCACTTCAGCTGGAAGGCTACTCCATGCATCCACTACCCTCTCGGTAAAGTAATACTTCCTGATATTTTTAAACCTTTGCCCCTCTAATTTAAGACTAAGTCCTCTTTTTGTGGTAGTTTTTCTTCTTTT